TATTGCCAGGCCTGCTCCTCCCACCACAGCCCTGATCATGGCATCACCCCGGTGCGGCATCTTCTCAAAAGACCAACGAATGAGAATGTCGAGATATGACAATATCCATCCAGAAGCGAGAGAAAAAAAGTTTTCTGTGTTTTTTTTGTTTGCTTGCGATATGGACATAACCATGAACGACTACGATTTGAACGTTTGGACAGGGACAAAAAGGAAAGGCACCTGTACATGAATAGGGAATGAGGCCTGGTTCTTACCAGATTATTTTTGTTATAGCTGCTTTTTTAATGAATGTTGTTAGATCTGGACTCCGTATCATACAGTAACCTAGTCTCTAACTAACCCCTTTGACAGTTTGATATCTTCCCACTCGAAAAGGTATGTACAACCCCTCTGACATAACCATCACCTAGCAAGAGCATAAACTCAAGTCCTTAAAAGCACATTAAAAGCACCTTCCAATCCATAGAGAAAAACATCCCATAGATAAAATCAGATCAGACAAAGTTCCCCCTCCTCTGACACTACTCAACTCAACTCTCCTCTACTCATCCCCATCCCAAACCTCAACCTTTCCCCCATTCTTAACCCAGTCCAACCAACTCCCATAATAAACCCCAATCTTCTCAGCATCATACCCAGCCTGAACAGCCAACCGAGCCGCAGCATCAGCGCGCACACCAGCCTTACAGTAAAAGACGAGCTCCGACTCGCCATCAGCAGATGGCTTCGGGAACCCGAAGCGCGTCTCGAACTCGTCTGGCGTGAGATACATTGCGTCGGGCTGGGAGGCGAGTGGGATGCTTAGGGCGTGCGGGATGATTCCTTGGGCTAGTTCGGCGGGTTCGCGGACGTCGATTAGGATTGGGGTGTGGGTTGGGGATGAGGAGGGTGAGGTGGATGGGAGGGTTGCTGTTATCTGTTGTTTTGAGATGGTTAGTTGTGGTGGTGGTGGTGGTTCCGGGGTGTCTTTTGGCTTTGGATATAGTGTTGTATACTAGGTACAGGGTACAAGTGTAGTTCAAGCTTGACATACCTCTTCAAATCCCCATTGTCGGAAGTTAATGTGTTCAGGATCGGCTTCGGGCTTGGACTGGTCGCTTGACCAGCGGATTTGGGATCGAGTCTGTTGGGTTTGGATTTGATATTGCTTGTTCTGCGCTGTGAGTGTGCTTCGGCGCGAGAGGGAGGTTAGGCCTCGGGTTGTTGCGGAGTGCGGGAGGGCCGAGGTTGAGCGGAGGAATTGACGGGTTGGTGTTTTTATGGCTTTGGAGGAGATTGTGCTGGCTGAGCGCCGGATGGCGGATTGAAATGTCGATGCCATGACTTATATTTTATGAGGGGGTTTTTTGGGCTGGTGTGAAAGTCCGCGGAGTTCGATGATGGGGTTCAGTTGCGATGTGATGTCAGTGTTAGTGCCAGGTGTGACCGCCTTCCTGGTTAACTACTTACAATACTTAAAGGTGGTCACATGACTCGGCATGGCTTCTCGTCTATAGTTTGACAGTATTTTGATAAATATTGTTTTCGCGACCGTATTTCAATTTGGGGTATCCAGGTTAGAGTCCTGATATCTAGGTACTACTAGTCCTTACTACCTACTAGGTACCTGGTTCCCAGTTTAGGCTTCAGCAGGAAATTGTGCATTTCTGCTCTCAGTAGACCATGGACTCATGCGGATATATATCTACCTAGGTATGACCTAGTAGGTGAACATTTCAAGTTGGAAATCCATGCATAATTTTCCATTGATGAACTCGCGAGTCTATTGCAAACTACAATTATTTACAACTTGAATCAAACAAAGAAAACGTCATGATGAAACGAAATAAATAATTAATATTATTCTATTGTGCACGGCTCGTGGCCATTTCGAGCCCGGGAAAGAAGAATGAAGAACCCCAGAAATGCTCCATCGCAGCGTGCCCACACGGGCCGCAGTCATAAACACATAATGGAAACAGAACACGGGACGCGGGGTATAAGGGTAGCAGTAACTTTGTCCTCAAAGTGCAACCTAATGCGAGGCCAAATGCCAGGGCAGGGACCCCTTACACAAGAGGGATCTGCCACGTCGGCCAAATCAAATCAAATCGAGAAGAGACGAGAAGAGAAACATTCGAACAGGCCCCGCCATCTCCAGGACAGAAAAGGACTTGTTGAAACGTGACCGAGCCCTTCTATCTGGATGTCGGGGCCGGGTTCAAATTCATGCTTTTTACTTTGGAGACTGGGGTTATTTAGGCGCGGGGGCGGAAGTTCAGAAGGCAGTCATCCTGTGTATGAAGTGGTTAGTGATTGTGTTTCATTATGTGGGGGATTCACAGAGATGCAAGGGGTGATGCATACCTGGGGGAAAATAGTGGCGAACACCTTGATGTCCTCCGACTGAGCGGTAGGGAAGTGCTCCCAGTCCATCTCCAGACTGGCCTTGCCGATCATGGCAATCAGCGAGGAGACGGCGTAGTTCTGGCCCAGGCAGTAGTGGGGACCAGTGCCGAAGACCAGGAAGTTCTTGGCCTGCTGCTCGGCGTCACCGGTGATCCAGCGCTCAGGCTCAAAGGAGTCGGCGTTGGGGTAGGCATCCTCGTCGTGGGTGGCGGGCCAGACGGAAGGAATGATCATAGAACCCTTGGAAACGGTGATCTTGTCGGTGATGGGGAAATCCTTCTTGACGAGATAAGGGACCATGATGACGGGGGACGGTAGCGGAGGGTCTCCTTGACGACGGCGCGGGTGTAGGTCATCTGATCGATCAACTCGAGGGAGATACCAGTTTTGCGGTCACCGTTACGGACGCGCAGGTTCTCCTCGCGGACCTTCTCCAGAACATCGGGACGGTCAGCCAAGAGCTGGAACAGCCAGGTGGTGGCGGCACTGGTAGCATCCTGGGAGGCGAAAAGGAAAGTGAAGATGGTCTGGGCAATCTCAAAGTCGGAGAAATCACGGAGAACCTGGGCGGGCTTCTCAGAGTCTTCAACCGGGATACCCTTCTCAATCTTCTCACGGTACTTGGCAGAGTCCTGCTGGGCTTTGACCCAGGCGTCCAGAATGCAGGAAACCTCACCACCGGCAGCCATGCGAGCCTTAGACTTGGCGGTACACTTGGAGAACTCGTCGAGGACCATGTCAGCGGCCTTCTTGCCGTACCAGGTCTTGGTATAAGGCAGGATGATGGGGAAGTTGACCAGCTCGAGCGCGGCGGTAATCAGGTAGTAATCATCGGCGACCTTCTGGACAGCCTCCTCGGACATGTAGTAGCCGACGAAGGTGCGGCAGGCCAGGGCAGTCATGAGCTCACGGAACTGAGGCATCCAGGGAGTAGGCTTGTGCTCGACCTTGGCGGATTTATCGAGGAAACGCTGGAAGTAGTCGTTGAAGACCTCCTCGACGCGGGGCATGTAGCAGGACAGAGCCTGGCGGGTGAACAGGCCATTGAGACCCTTGCGGTAGTCAACATGAGCCTTGCCATCAAGGAAAACCCAGTTGGTCTTTCCGAGAAGCTTGTGGGCGGCATCCACGACACAGGGCTTGACGTAGGCGGGCGAGTTGAAGATCTTGCGGGACATATCACGGGACGAGGCAATGACGACGAACCTGGCGCACGGTTAGTCAATTAATACCGAGAATGGCACTGGGCGCTGGGGAAGCATCAAGCAGCAAGGCCATTGTCCGGAGGGAGAGAATTTGGGGGAGGCTCACTTGTGGAAGACGGAGACACAGCTCAATTCGCCGCTGTCCCATTTGGCCTTGTATTCGGTGAACTTGGGGTTGACAGATTCCAGGAACGGGCCCATAAAGGGGATCTTATAGGCAGGACCGATGATTGCGCCCTTGAGGTAGTGATACTTCACTAGAAAAGGGGGAAATTGCATGTTAGATTCATATTTTCATCCTGAGACGCGCCACGAGACACAAGACTGGACAGAGTCTGTCAAAGAGACTGGACTCGGATGGGACGGATCACACATACATTGATCATAGACGACGGCACCAACGAAGAGAGTCACCAGGAACTTCCAGATGGTGAAGCCATCAAGCACGGAGGCGATAAGACCCGCTGGCGCAAACAGCTGGGGGGAAACCGTCGCATCGGCGGATGGGGAGACGAAACTCCCTGTGATATTGACCATGATGTCCGGTAAGGCCACAGAGAAGAGGCCTCAAGATTTTTTTTTTGAGTATAAAGAGAGACTGAGTAACAGAAAAGGAAAAAAAAGCAGTGACCAAAGAACCGGACTATCACCGCGCGCGAGTGGGTGGAGAGGGGGGAAAGGGAAATTCCAATCGGTCAGGGGCGGGAGGGCCAATTCCGAGTCCCGGTTGCTGGGCGAGCCACGAATGACTATCGAGCCATTATTATTTTATTCTTGCGACAGGGAGTAGGAGACTATGGTCTGATTGACCCACTATAGATTGAGATTAACAATGACTCCTATGAATTTTAGTCCCATTGGATTTGAGTCGTGTGTTCTTTTTCTCTACTCCGTCCTCTCGCCATACTTCCCGTACAGTAATGTACCGTGTAGATTGGAGTCCACCAACATTCAGAGTACGCTTACAATATCATACAATGCAATACAACGTAAACACGATATTTACTGCAGTAGAATTACCCCGCCTAACAGGCAGCATCTCCTGTAGCCAAAATACTAACTAGCAATTGTTGTTTGTATTCTGCACTCTGCACTCTGCACTCTGCACTCTGAACATACTCCTCCGTACTTTGTACTTTGTAGGGCTTTTGGGCATAGCGTGACTCGGCTCCAGTTTGTCCCGGATCTGGGTCACGTGGAATGACTAAGGACCAACGATGATTGGTGGAACAGCCATGCAGGGACTGATCTAGATCTCAGATATACCTACTCGTACTCGTACTCGTAGCATGGGAATGAGAATGGCCATGGCCATGACCAGATGTGTGGGCAGACTAGAGGATACCCTCCAATTCATCGATTCCATGGAATAAATACATGACACATGACACATAAGGTATCTGCTCATCGTCCGAATCCGAACCATCCTCGTCCCTTCTTCTCTTCTCCTGCTGCTGCCGCTGCCGCTGCCGCCGCCGCCGGGGCCGAGGCCTCCTGTTGCTGTTGACCCTCGTGGGGATACTCGATGTAGTTCCATGCAACGTCCAGGAACAAAGGCTTCACCGGAACCGGCTTCATCTGCGGCGGGTACGGCACAAGGTTACTGAGGTCGGTTCCTTGCTGGAACTGGTGCAGGCGCTCGACAAGCGGACGTTGCTGACCGGGGCCGGATTGGGCTTCCAGTCGCTCCAGAGTGACCAATCCCCGATACTGGGCGACCAGTCCGCGCAGTGCGGTCTCCAGGGCACCTGCCTGTGCCCGAGAGACATCTAGACGGGGAGGCCCCTGTGATTCTGCCGATGCAGGTGACGCCGCAGACTGGGACAAGTCCAAAGCTTGAGCGAAAAGCGCAAGTGCTTCAGTAGGCTTGCCCAGCACACCGTGAGACCGTCCGACGGCCAAAGATCTAGTCAGACATTAGATTAGTGAACTGCTGAATAGTGAATGTGGGGGGATAAATGGCATACCTCAGAGCCCGGAAATAGCGGCGCTTCGCCTCCAGATCCTGCACAAAGGTCGAGTCGGCTGCAACTCCCGGCAGCTCAAGAATGAAGTCGATACTTTGCAGAGTCGAATCGTATAGTACCACTCGTTCGCGGAGCTTGTTCAGTTTCTTACCATTGCCTGCATTACGCTTGACAGTCTTGCCTTGGGTCGTCTGTTCCTCGCCAAATACAAGACCATCTTGCTCGCCGCACAGAACACGGTTGCGTCCAATACGCCAGCCAACAAGCTCGTAGTTGACAGCGGTACGAGTGATCTGTAGTGCCTGCATGCGCTTATCGCCGGGATCCACGCCCTCACCGGTAAGGTCATCGAGAGCAGTTTTCGTAGCATCGACCGCATCCTGACTGGCGATGATGACATTATCGTATGCGGCAGCCTGATCTTTAGCGGAAGCCGACTTGCCCTCATCGGATAGCCAAGCAGAGAGACGTCCTTCGGCGGCCGAAGCAGCAGCCAAAGCCTGGGAGATAGAGGCATCGTCCAGAGGAACAGTGCGCGACCGCCATGTTACAGACTCGGGTAGCTTCTGCACCTCGCCCTCGGCGGTTCTCCGTGTACCTGCGGCCTCCTCAGCCAGACAAGAAGGGTCAATCTTCTCCACCTCCGAGCGGATATTCGAGTCGGATGGGAAGTATTCAATCGCAAGAGAGGAGGTGGGCTTTGAGCGTGGTAGCTTCATTTGGTAAGCCGCATAACGCAGACTCGGGTCGACGGTACCGGTGAGCAAGTCTCGGAAAGCATCCTTCTTGACTTTCTGTCCCAAAGCCGTATAAATGACTCTGGCAATGGCATAGTCGTGCAGGCACTGTTCCCATCGTCGCTTTTCCAGCCACAGAGCTCCAGAGATCGTAGCAAAATAGGCCCGCGCCTCAAGAATATCAATGTCGCTCGCACCGGTGGTGGATTGCTCGTGTAGCAGGTCCACTAGGTGCTGCGCATATCCTTTAGCTTTGTTCAATCGCGAAATAATATGGCGTCTGGTGGCACCGGCAATTCCTTTCGCATCTGGATCCGCGGAGTGTGTCGACTTCATATGCATGGCTTGCGCCCAGGCTCGTTCGGATCCCAAAAGCAATAGGTGTACATAACTAGACAAGCAGCGGGAGTCAGCTTAAAAGTTCTTCACTCCTTCTTAAATATCCACAGCATAATTGTAAAAAGACATACGAAACATTGGTTCCGACATTCTCGGGGGTCACAGCGGGTTTGGCTGTGTACTTGCGGCCTTTGGGGGTCGCCTGGCCCAACTTCTTGCGGAGTTTGTGCAGTCTGCGGGTGGCGTGTGCCCGATAGGCATTGTAGTCGCCAACCAGGAGAAGATCTTCACGCTCTTTGAAAACGAAATCGGTGATCTCCATGATGGTGGGCTGATCGGAATGGAGGGGGAGTTTCCTGGAGTAGTCAAGGTCAAGTTGGTCTTGAGGGGAGGAGTTGTGGTGGGTGGAAAGGCGGTACCCCAATTCGGCCAAATGAATGGGCCGACGTGCAGCCCGGCAATTTCCAATCTTTCCAACGTTTTGTTGCTCCCGTTCTTCTCGATCCCATCGAGCTACTCTGCTCGTGGTTCTCTCCACCTGGATTTTGCATTTGGTCTTGAATTTGGAAGCCTCGAGCTTGCATTGAAAGATCGCGTGTTGAATCCAATTGATTTTTTCTGTTTTTTCGCGGTATGTATGGCACCATCATCTCTCGGAACAGCTTGTTTGAATGCTGCGGAGAGGAAAAAAAAACCCCCTTCCACCATGAGATCTTTGGCGTCTAACTGGGATGTGCATTATTTAGGACCATCTTATACGATACGATGCAGCCTGTCGATCATCCTCGGTGACTTCAGTGTTATTCCAACACCGCGACGATTGGGGGTGATGTTGGAACGGGCAACTGCCTGTTTCGAGAGCGCAGGACGGCGTTTGTTTCGAGACCCCAATGATGCGATTCGAACACGGAGATCCCTGTCTCGCACTTTTTGGAAACACAATGCTACTGCAGAGGACTTCCCCGGTTGGTTTCTCGCCTTGGTCCAGCCGTCAAATCAACGCTCGTCCTCCGCTCTCAACCTCGCCTCCCAAAACCAAAATCAATCGGCCCAAGATGGAGGAACGCCCTTTTTGGAATTCTTGTACCCCGGACCTCTTCGCCGGCATTGCGCTTACCCCGACAACCAAGGAGATTGGGTCTGCGCCGAAGAAAACGATCGCTGGTCGGCTTCCCGAGAAACTACACCTCCGAAGCGGTCTCAAACACTCAACCCACCCTCCCCGACACTTCAAGAATACACGGGACAACCTTCGATGGGACGGATAATTCAGCAGCTAGTCGGGCCATAGAAGAACTCTCAAGGATACTAGAAGACAAAAGCAAGGATGTTGACAAGGATTTCGACAAGGCATGGGTTCTTTACCTGGCTGCTGGAAAACCATCGGCCGTTCGTTCCCCCTTATGTCAATACCTATCAGCTTCCAACCACAGCTCGGATTCGGACCGGGCTTGGCAACTCTTTGAAGAGATTCCGCTCAAAGACCGCTCACCCAGTGATTTTCACCGCATTACTCATTCCCAAGCACTAGTCGAAAATTCTCCAAGACTCATGGAAATCGCCAAGCAAGCAGAGCTATCTACAACGCAAGAAGCTGCCAACTCGTGTTTTCCTAAGATCTTCGCATACTTCTTCACAAGGAAACTGTGGAGTCCCGCCGTGGAAGTCTCGCGAATATGGGGTTCCCTCGAACACCCAGAGGATATTCAAAAGGCCCAATTGTTATTTTTACACGTTACAGACGTTACACTCGTTTCGAACTGCCTGGCTTTTGGACTTCATCTTCGATCATCCAGACAATATGCTGACCAAAGAAGGCATGAGCATTTCTTTGACCTTGCAGAAGCGCTTCTGCATCAAATTTCACACTCCCCGACTCAGCCTGAACATGCCTCGCTGGATCACCTCCTCGAAATGCTGAGAGTATATGGAGATCTATATGTCCCTTTACTGATGCATTACAACAAGATCATCGAAACGCTTCAGTCGTCGCCAACTCGCTCCGGATTTTCTCGATCAATAGTCTTTTATCGCCAACTGCGTGTGGAATGGCCTGATCTCCGGCCTTCATATGGCCTGTTAAATCGCCAGTTGAACTCTATGAAAGCATGGGGAATGACTAGCGGTATATCATATTTCTTGGCCGAACTCGAACATTTCTTTAATCGGCCGGGCATGGGTGCATATCTCGTGAGCATGGACTGCTATGCTCATGCTGGTGACTTTTCACAGGCTGAATCGGTCTTTAACCGGATGCTGGCGGATTACGGGAACCCTTCAGACTGTCGGCCAGTGCTACCACTAATCGTTGCCCATGCCAAGATGGGCAATGTGAAAGAAGCACGTCGACAATTTGAACGATTGACAAATGAATTTCAGCTCCAGCCAAATAGCCACTGCTGGAATGCGCTTATCAAGGCGCATGCTGCCAACAATGATTGGACTGGTGCACAGAAAACTTTCACTCAAATGTTGCATGCCGGCTTGCAGCCAGATTCATATAGCTTTGGCACATTGATGGGAATCACCGCAAAGAGAGGTGATGTTAATGGCACCCATAGGCTCCTGGAAGAAGCACGTCAGCATCGAGTATTAATCACAATGCCAATGCTTGATACAGTCATTCAAGCACACTGCACGAACGGGCAGTTGGATTTCGCGGAACAGCTTGCAGAGGCGTGTTCCAACCTTCGAATCCAAGGGAACCTCACCAGAATTTGGAATATGATCCTACTTCAGTATGCGCGCAGGCTCAACGTCAAAGCTTGCTACCGGATCAAGGCACGCATGAAAGCGCTCAATGTTCCGTGGGATGGTTGGACGTATTACGCAACGATGCGTGGTCTTGTCCTGATTGGCAGACCTGAGCGAGCACGAAAATTGCTTCAAGACCTGCACCAAAATCGTGAAATGTATGCTGAAGAGGCCCATTACGCCCTCGTTCTATCCGGATTCGTTAAGCAACGCAACAGAGATATGGTGCACATCATTTTCAAAGAGATTGTGGAGCGATTTGGCAAAGCTGGGCCTAAGTCAAGCTTCTTGTATCTCAAATCCCAGGTCCAGCGTGATTTGCGAATCGCAAAAGAGACCGGTATCACAAATGATGCTGACGTTCATCTGGTGCACGCGGAAAAGGCTTTGGCCGAATACCTGGCTAACTCTCATGCCGCACCATCAACTTTCATGCCTGGCAACCAACTTGTCAATAAACCTGTCAATGATGCTGAGGTGGCTTTTCAATACGAATACCTGATCGAGCAATACGGGAAACGTGGTGCGATCAATCGTGCCCTTGCACTATACCAGGAATTTGTGGATAGCCGGGCTCCCGTAAACCCTGAGGAGCACGAGCCGAAACCGATGCCAATTCGAGTTCTCACTTCCATGATGTCTGCTCATTTAAACGTGGCACAATATGATGAAGCCGAGAAGCTGTGGAAATTCGCGATATCTGAAGCTATGGAACAAGCCAGTGAGGTTGTGGTTGACTTGTCGCCCAAAACTCCCTCATCGAACATTGAGGAGTCCCATGCTACAAGTTCTCGGCGCTCTGACTTGCCGACCACCAATGTTTCTGTCATTCCCCATGGTCGCAAGATTATATCAGCACAGCGTTTTATTCTTGCGAAACCCTTGTCTCTCTACATGCGAGTCTTGGGCTACCAGAACCAGGCGAGAAGGATCAGTGAGGTCGTGGCGGATCTCGAGAAACTTGGCTTCGAATTGACTACCTTCAATTGGTCAAGCTGGGTACAAATGCTGGCATCCTCTGACTACTATCCTGATCAAGTCAAAGGTTTCCAAATGTTCGAAGAGAAATTCGCACCTCGTTTCCCTGGATGGTCCAAGCTTTTACGCGGATTTGGACACAAATCACCCCAAATGACAAATTCTACTTGGATGCTTGAAGATCCTCGAACAGTGTCGTTCCGGGATGTTGCCGGCAAGAACACACGAAAGCACTGGATCGGTATTGAACCAGATCATCTGCAACCGACTTATCTCACCATCGTTTTCCTCGCCGCCTCTCTCAACCGTATCCGAGATAAAACCATCACTCAAGGCAATCACGAACTCCAGAAGATCAACACCGATGCCCCTGAAACAGTCAAATTGATCGGTGAAATGCCTTATAAGCGCGACAAGATCCAAGGCGTATTGCTTCGACATCGTTCGCAACAACCTGACAGCGAGGCGAATCCAACCGAGCACATCGTCATGAGAGGTGGCGTTCTCGGCAAGACTACACGTCCCGGAAGTCGACCTAACATCTTCAAAGATGACGAGACATTGGAGACGTGGCAGCGCAAGACTCCAAATTATCTAACCAAAGGGCCCAGGAACTCTAGCGAGACTGAAAGTCCAGCGGATGACACCGTGTGGGTTGATCGGGGGGTGGATACCCAGTCGAATCCGCTGTCAACCGCGGACGAAATCGACACTGAGAACCACCTCCGCAAGGCTTCCACCACAGTCAAACAAAAGGACCAGAAACGACAGTCTCGATTTGCCAGTGTCATTGCTCGTGAAAAGAAGCGACGCGAAATCACCAAGGAACGCCTCGAAAACCCGGTGAATCAAAACCTAGTCGACTACAAGATGTTCGAAGAGGAGGACCAAGCCGTTGACGAAGAGGATGAGGCTCTTGATGACCAGTACTGGGTTGATGAAAATGAGGACTTCCAGGCTTTCGTCGAAGAAGACAAGGTTGCTGACGAGGAGCAAGTGGAAGCAGAGCCCTACGAGGAACCTGGGCAGCAAGAGCATTTCGAAGTTAGGCGCTCAGATGATAGAGAGCAGTCCGAATCTGGATCTGAAACCGAGTGCGCCAAGCAGGCCACACAAGATCACAGCGAGATTCCCGATGAGAACAAAGCTCGCGATTAGGGAGACGCGCTCCCTACTGTATATTGATTTGTTTAATTAGCCTTTTTGCATATATCCTGTCTAGATAGTGTCACAATGTATATTAGTATTTTTATCTCTATTGTTCAGTTTATTCTATTGAGACCGTAGTCCGACGTACTATTGGATTTCCTATGCAAAGTCTTGGCTTCCTCTTTCTAATTTAGTATTCAGTGAGCGCTGCTTTTGCTTACTGAGTAGATCTGAGCATATCACTAAGCGTGCTAAGCAGATTGCTGCTTTTGCAATCACTGCTCGAGAATAGAACTGCTCCTGAAATGAGAATCAGTTGCCTTTAGAACCCCCACAGCATAATATAGTAGATGAAGAATGCTCGCGACCCAAAGCGTGCCACTGGCCGTAGTAGTTCGAATAAGGGATATTTCACACAAAGCTTAAACCAACCATAATGCCTACATTTGGACATGATCCGAATAACCCAACTAGCCTTGAAGGCTAACATTTAGCTTGCCACAAGGAACGTGAGGGGGTACTGTCGTATTTCAGATAGTCGCTCTATTTCGACATATATCAGCTGAGTCCTTCAGGGAGGCTCACCTTCAGCAACTTGACTCGCACGGTAGAGAATTCTGACGTGTAGCTTTAAAGCGGAATCGATTTTCAATCGTGTCCTGGAGCAAAGTCGGGGCGGCGTCGCGTCTTGACTGCGGTCCAATTATCGATGAGCGTTTCAAGAAAGTCCAAATGTCTACATTGAGAGATCATCTTTGGTTAGAATATGCCATTCAAACTTTAAAAAGAAAGGTAGCATGTCTATTCAGAACTGAAATCGTGATAAAGCAGTCTCTCCTCTATTCTCTGCCTTTTGAAAGAGAGACCGGAGGAGCAATAATAAAGAAAGCAGCATCAATTTATAGATCACGATAGATGGAAGGAGACTGGATACGTATTTATGCAAAAAAGAGAGGGCTCCTGGCGCTACCAATTCCAGCACGATAGCCTTCCAACTTCCATTAAATTCCCATTCCAAGGTTTACTTGAACTCGGGGAATTCTTCTGCCGTCCAAACTTTCCAGACGAGTCTTTCGCCGCTGACGGTACCGGTCCTCATGATGTCTAGGGCCGTACGAGCTCGCTCTAGAAGCGTGTCCCTTGAACAACTCGCTGGTCGTTTGGTTCAATTGTGCCTTGAGAAAGTAGAGTGGGCAAGATCTCCGGGAAGAGATTTTCCTTCAGGAAGGCATTCTAAAGGTGCATTAGCAAACATTTCAAGCTTGAGCGTAGAAAAGTACTCCACATACCGCTTCATAGCCGTAGCTGACAATGCTATGGATTTCCACATCCTTTGACCAATCTGCCCCCGTGGAAACATCAGGAGACAGCTGCAATCCATTCGCGTCCGAGGAGTTATTAATCACAACAGGCAGAACAGCTGCGACCTTGGAGCCTGCTCGAGTCGCGATTTTTGAAATTGGAAGCAAGGAGCCGAATTTGGAGTCCACGCAATCAAAGACGCGAATCGCCTCAGGGGATTTGTCCGAGCTCAAAATCTCAAGAACAGAGTCCACGACCCCAGTGCTGCGATAATCAAAAACATGCGCTGCGCCATAACCTTTAAGCTTTTTCTCATGCTTGAGGGATGCCGTAACAATGACATTCTTGTATCCCCAATGCTTGAGAATTTGAACTGCAAAGTGACCAACTGAACTACCGGCTCCCCAGATTAAAATTGGAATTTGCTCGCCTCGAGGCACAAAATTCTCAGGGAGAGGCCACGGCAGGTCTATCTTCAGGTTTTCTGACAGGGAAAGGAAAGCCGTGCAGAAATTGGTGGGAAGTGTGGCTGCAGCCGCAAGAGACATGCCATCTGGCACCTGTCCGATAACTTAGTTTTCTTTCTAAACAATATAGCCAGAAGAATGTACAGACCTTTGAAAAGAGATGATTGGGCGCGGTCACATAGACTTGTTGTCCCATTTCATTTTCGTTGTGGAAAACGAACCCACACACTCTATCGCCGAGCTTGAGACGCTGAACATTGGGGCTAACTGCGACTACCGTTCCGGCAACACTGTCACCAAGACGCAGAGGGAATTGTGCCATCAAACCAGCATCAACTTTAAAAACATCTAGCGGCGCGGATGGGACCCATTCTACTCGAACTTGGATCTCATGCTGCTGCGGAGTGGCAGTAGGAACTCGCTGGGTTGTCAGCGGCTCCTTGATGCCGGTAGCGATGATTGCGGGATGAGTAGACATGATTCTTGGTTGTCAAGTGATGAACTTCTTAAGGGAATACTTGTGTTGGGAAATTCGATTCCAGCTTCGCGGTTACGCTCTTTAAATACGGCAACATTGGTAATTAAAGCCGTCGGCTTTGAGAGATTTAAAGCAATGGATGTTTTCAAGGTTTCCAGTGCGGGTCCATGAACAATACGCTTATATTTAGTAATCAATTCAGATTTTGGTTACCGCAAGCTTCCGTTGTCTCAGGCCAGTTTGTTTTGTATCCAAACCTTTCAGGTGGGGCATTAAGTGTATCATACGGTGGCAAACGATGGGATCAACAGCCGTATGCTTGGGACGGGAATAGCAGAAATCGTGGTCCGAACTACATATTATTCCCCATAATCATGAGACACTTTATTGTAATGTAGGATCAGACTGAAAGGAAGAACGAGAGGGTTTCGATACCGTTCCAATGCTTTCTCATTTCCATAATTTTGGGTCATCACAGACCCCATCATCTTTATGTTCCCTACTATTCTCAACCTAGGATTTGACGCCAATGGAGTAATTTCTCGCCCCTCTTCACTCTCCACTTGTTACTTGAAACGAGAATCTCAGGGCATCCTCGGAGAACCCAACCCCACTTCCTAGCAAATGCCTCTGTGGCCTCCCAATTTCGTGGATCCCAAGGCGTCCCCCAAACAAGCAAAGTCGCATCACTATGCCGGGTATCCCAAAAGGCAGTAAGGTCATGACACAATTCATCGTCGTCAAGAGTATTTCCTGCCATAATGAGATTGTCCCTCATCTGCGGGAAAGGAAAAACATCAAGCCATGGATGATGTGGAAACTGCTTTTGCAAAGACGTTGCCCGTAAACTGAGAGGAACAGCATTGTGAGACATATGTGGACCAATTTGACTAAAGATCGAAACTGTATCATCCCGGCACATCCACTCTGGAGACATGCCTATAGCAACTGCATTATCGTAGGCTGCACGTAGGATATTCAATCTGCTTAGCTTGATGAGCTGGTCCGCTCTCGGTGCACATCGAGTAAAGTCTTTCATGGCTCTCTTTTCGAATTCATGCATGAGCTCATGCACAGTTGGAGGAGCGAATGAGCACTGGTCATGTTGGACCGAAGAAAGTCTGCACGTAATAGGCGCGAGTCGTGTGGATTCCTCAGTGCAACCAGGGGCAATAGTGAGATTCCTTCCAACACCGCAGACAACAGTTACTCTTTCCGGCGGTCTTTCCTCTTTCCCCTTTGCTTCTTGACGCAAGCCTGTTTTTCGTAGCAGTTTGGTATTAGCGATAGAGCGGATACCGAAGGGAGGCACCCAAAAAAAGACTCACGATATGATCTCTGGTTGAGCCGATTTTGTAATCTCCGCCGCGTGGCCGAATTCGTGATGCCGGTCCAATCGTCGCTAGGGGAGAGAGCTTCTGATTGTGTCCCCAACTGCGGCTTAGTTGGTGAGCCTGGTGCCAAAGACATAGCGTGAAATTTCAAGCCGTGTTGCGGGGCGCTCAAAGTTTGCAGTATGCGCCTTGACGATGCAAATATTCGCGAGAGGAAATTGATGGAGTGTATGCAAGATGCTTACAGAATGAGTGACATTGGTCAGCAGCAGTTCTACATGGAGTGGCGATCCACTTGAGACTAGGCAGACCAAAACGCTCCCGCCTTCGTTTTAATCTGCTTACGCCCCATTTAACTCTAAATCCTGCCAATGGGATCACTCAAAACCAAACCCAATGATTCCACCTCCGAAGGTCTGTCTGTACATATGTACACATGATGATCCACTTTTTCTTTGTGTTCTGCCATGATATCTCGTTGATATCTCGTTCGTGGTAAGCTGGAGTATCAGAGCCATACAGGGGTTATTTCAACCTCCCCTAGTACATTCCTGCTTTCTCTTCAGCCAATCAACCCTATTCATCCTATATTAGAAATCAGATATGGCTGTCAGGTCGTGCCCAACTCCGGTGAAGGCATCAAAATTCTCCGCGAAGTGGATTTAATCGCGGCCCCTTGACCTGGATGCACATTCAAAAGTGATGCGTAGCTGGGGAGCCAAGCCTATATCTAACCAATGAGCATCTAGATGTAAGCGTTTTAAATAGAGTTCGAAATGATTGACCTCAACACAATCCACGCCATCCTCAACGTCCACTTCGCACCTATGAAAAAACTTACCCAGTGTAAATGATGGAGCATCCCAGGGCCTCGGGGTTTATGGGCCAAGAATTCACAGTTCCATTTATACTTTCAATCTCCATCAACATCGCCGAGATTATCGCCAGTCTCAAATCCATACAAGAAAGTTTTAGCCGTGCAGCAACATGCCGACGTAGCTTGGTCAGATGGTCATTTCGTGGCCGCATCTCTTAACTTGATCAGCGCCAAATTTGGAATGTGTCCAAACAGACGCACCGGCAAAGGATGTCACTACTCGAAGCCGGCTTGACTTAGGTTCACATTGATTTCGTCCATAAGAGGGCCCTTTATGCACAACAATAGTGACGTCGCTCCCGGGTTCGGCTTGCATCCCTCGGAGCTGACAACAGTCTAACTCCGAGTTTTAATCCGCATCTAATTCCGCGGACATTCTTGTTGCGTATTTTGGAAGAGGCTTGATATAAAAAGTCTTTCGCTCAGGGGCCAAAACGTGCCTCCTGATTTGAATACTCCAGTCACAAGGCCCTGAAGCTGTTGATACGAGTCTACTTCTTGACCTTGCACTACTTATCTCATCGCTACTGCCAAGAATAAGTAGCTCTTCCAAACTTAACCAACTCACACTGAAAATTACCATGGCCGCAAGCGGCATGATGAAAGCGCTAGTTTTCAGGCCCCAGAGTCAATCTCTAGCTGTGAAGGACATCACCGTGCCAATCCCTGGACCAAAGCAAATCCTGATCAAGGTCGAGGCTGTCGCGCTCAACACGGTAGATGTCATGAACATAGACCACCCTATTGCGCTCCAAGATATGCGTGTCGTTGGCACAGACTTCGCGGGAGTCGTGGTGAGAATTGGCGAAGATCTCCAAACTCTGGAAGACCCGCGGATGAAGATTGGCGCACGCGTCGCTGGACTTGTTCAAGGCGGTAGGTGTTGTCTCCTCTTTTGATCCTAATCACACGTCTGACAGTATCCAGCAAACTCTGCCAACGACCGTCCCGGCGCCTACGCCGAGTACGTTGTGACCGATTATGACTTGACCTGGAAAGTCGCTGATAGCGTACCGCTGGAAAGCGCCGCTACCATTACTATGTGTGGTCTTACTGCCGCACAGGGCCTCTTCTACCGTATGGGCTTTCCATGTCCGTTCTATGGGACACCGACGTTTGGGGGTGTGGAAGAGCCCGTAAACGTTTTGATATACGGCGCAACAACTAACGTCGGCCTTTTTGCGGCGCAGCTAGTCCGTATCGCGGAAAAGACAGCGGGGAAAAAGGTCAGACTCATCGGAGCTGCCAGTGCGTCGAAGCATACCTCACTAAAGAAGGCACCATATCAATACGATATCTTAGTCGATTATAGGGATGATAATTGGCCAGAGAGGGTCCGTGAGGCGACTGATGAGAGCGGCGTGTCATACGCAATTGATGCAGTATCCGTTGGCTCAACAGTAGGGATGGTCGAAAGCACATTGAGCCCTTTAGGGAAATTTGCCGCTTTTCGGACTCCAATCATTGGCGGATTTGACATAGCTGCCTTGAAGATCAAGCCTGTCGTCGGTCCAGTTTGGGAGGGCCTCGGCGTTGAGTTCGGTTATCATGGTAACATCATCATATTCTCCAGTTACCTGGTTTGATTCAATCTAATATGTCTACAGGTGTAACCCTACATGCCAATCCAGATGCTAGAAGCTTCGCCGCCGCTTTCTTCAAATACATCGGCCAGGAACCAACTTCTGGTTCGAATGTTCTCCAATCGGGCCCCATCCGCCTCATGCCTGGCGGTATGGAACAGATCATTTCTGATGGCTTCGCTGTGCTCCGCAAATCGTCCCTGGTATCCAGGGCCGGATCGGATCAGAAAGACGAGACTCATTTGCAGCCAATCAGCATGGAGAAGTTGGTGTACAAGATATAAATGGGAATCACAAGAAGTGATTTCCTAGAACCTCTTGGCCTCCGGTCGTGCTGGCAAATTCTTCATAGGACCTGAAAAGAACATTACCCGAGCTGAGATGGCTCGTCTTCTCGATGTCTTTTTATTTGTCAAAGATATAGAGCCGTAGTTTGCCCCCTGAATAGGTGGCGTTCTGAACAGAGGCCTAAAGGTAGTTCTTTTAGTCAATCGATCGCTGGGATGAAACAAGTGGTCCTCACGAGTACTAGTTGATGCCGATACCCGGAGGTCAATCAAAATCTTAAGAGAATGTAACTGTATGCGTCTTCAACAAAAAGGCACTTGGCGTAGCTCTTTCCGACTTGTGATCAAGTTAAAACCAGGAACCCAACTGCTGAAATACAGCATCATCCCTATCAGACTTTTATTCTCCACTATCTGCCCGCCGCTCCTTCCAACTTCCAACTTATACACCTTCCTTACGACCATGAGCATGTCCACTTCTCCCCCTTATTATTCTTCTTCTGCTCGTTTCTTCTCTTCTCCTTGTCAACATCCTTCTTCGTTCCTATTGCCTCCTATTGCCTCCCATGTCATCTCCCCACTCACTTGGAGACTGTGACATTCCTTTTTTTGAAGGTTGCTTTTGTCCGCCACCGCCCACTCAGAAATGACCCAGTCTCATAATCTCGATACTGGAGCTTTGGCCACGAAATTTTTATATTTGTTCCTACTTCGTTTCTAAGATTTGCAACTCTGCCACAACTCTGCCACAAATTCGAGTCACTTATTCTGTAAAGGTCTCCGAGTCGGCCTTTTGACATGTTAACCTCCAGTTCACCTGGACTCAAAGGCCAGACAAACATTCCATGACCAGAATATAGGTACACTGTATATCTAGGTATCCATTTCCTGCTATGAGCCTAGACCAGACTCAGATCAGTCCGCTAACCAATCTGCAGACACAATAGTCTCTGCGGACACAATGGACTCTACAGCCCCAGACACATTCCCAGGCCCAACCAAGCCTTGGAGCCTCCGCACAAGACAAGACACACGAGGTTGATGGATTCTGCAGCCCCGAGTACATTCTCAGTCTCAGGTCCAGAGCTTATATTCTCTGTTGTTGACTGGATGCTCCAGGGAATCATCAGCAAAGATGAATGGAAATCGCTTCAGATCCGTGTGGGCACTACCTACTTCACCGTTCGTGATGTTCAAAAAGAAACCCGATGCTTACAGTCGCCCATACGCCTCCAACCTTCTTCCTCCCTTGCTCTTGAAGTCGGGCGGTCACAGACTGCTGCAAACCTCGAGGATGGAAAGATCAGGGTTGTCATCCGCGCAAGACAAGGCCCACAAACTTGATGGATTCTGTATCCCTGCCCAGATGTATTCCCAGGTCTATCCCCAGTCCCCCCCGCACAGGATGAGCACTACAGGATATTACGAATATTCAACATACCAGCTCGCGGGACAAAATACCTCGTCAAGAAATACTCCCGCACAATAATCCAGAGAAATTCTTCCAAAAAGAACCCAAGAAACAAACCTTCTCGAAGATTCAGGCGGAGAAGGTAGCCCGGATCTCAACCCACCGGGCCTTCATATTCGCAACTGGATCACAGCATCGATCATCCGGAAATGCTTGAAAGAGAATTACAGCATTCAAAAAACGGAAAAACGGACATCATGTGGGATGGCTATCTTTTCGAAAGCTGGGGAGTCCAGCACAGTTGCCGAGTCAACCTTTGATTCCAAGTTGTTATATAGATGATGGCTTGCGGAAACCATGGGGCCATGAGATACGTCACGCAACACGAATACAGGATACTTAGTCTTAACCAAATAGCGTCGTTGAAACATTACAACTTTGAACTGATCTGACTGTATTGAGTTCAGGTTCTGATAAGAATTAAAACCAGGTGGGTGCTTTGTATATACTTGGGGTCTCGTGCTCTGATTGGTTAGTGTGCTCGAGTGTATTACATAATCGACGCGAACGCGTCTACTCACGCGTTCCAATTTTGCCTAATCGGGACGCGCTAACTGGGACCCGCACAGGCTGGGAGGGTCGTTGATTTCCATCATCTCTCCCCCTCGACTTGGACTTGGACTTGGTCGATATCCCACATTGAAACCACCACAACCACCATGGATACCCAGTTGCGTGATGAGGCCGCGCAGGATCGCGTGCGGGCCGCGAAGGAATTTCTTGATCCCAGTAAGTCTGCAACATTCTGCTGCGCTGCGACCGAAATTGTTTTCTAACCTGGTGCTTTTTTCCTCCTCAGCCGATAACCGCGCACGGAGGTTCGTCGATTTGCGACTTGATATGAATTTGGAGGAGGGATTCTTTCTGACAAGATGAAACAGCTACCGAGCCGATATTGTGGTGATGCTCAATCGTGGTTCACGCCGTTTGCTGGTGTGTTTTTGTCAACCCCTTGGCAATGTGGGAATGGGTAACTGATATCTGCAGGTTGATCTCGATGACCTTCGCCAACATAGCAGGGAGATGGCTGATGGGTAGGTAACATTTTCTGATCTCTCGGACTTCCAAAATGATGGCTTTGGTTCTGATCATATTCTCAAACAGACTTCTCACATCTCCCTTCGAATACACACAATCCTTCGATGCCGCCTTGAAAGACGTTGTGAAGCATGTGATGCCCGGAAAGAAAGAGTCAGCGGATGAAGTGGTATGTCTCGATTGACGCATCTGGAGACGTGCATCCAAGCAACGCAATGCTAATGAGTTGCTTCGATAGGTTTACTACTGCGCTTTCCACGGAGCATTCGGAGAGTACTCCTGCAATCCCCGCACATTGGGATCTCAGCAATTGAACCGCATGGTGGCCCTCGAGGGAATCGTGACAAAATGTTCCCTAGTCCGACCAAAGGTGGTCCAAAGTGTTCACTACAGCGAAAAGAAGGACCGTTTCCTTGCCCGAAAGTACCGCGACCAAACTATGACTGCCAGTGGTGCCACCAGCCTGAACGTCTACCCTCAAGAAGATGAGGACAAGAACCCGGTATGTATACCTTCCTAGATCAACGAACCATTGTGGTTTCTAATTTCCGACTTTCTAGCTCATCACTGAATACGGCTACTCTACTTACATGGACCACCAATCGATTTCAATCCAAGAAATGCCCGAACGAGCCCCGGCCGGACAATTGCCCCGCAGTGTTGATGTGATTCTTGACGACGATCTGGTCGACACGGCCAAGCCTGGTGACAGAATTCAACTGGTCGGTATTTACCGCACCTTGGGTAACCGCAATGCAGGCTCTGGGTCCTCCACTTTCCGAACTGTCGTTATGGCCAACAATATTATTCAACTATCCTCCAAGTCTGGCGGTGGCGTTGCTCAGGCCACCATTACCGACACCGACGTCCGCAATATCAACAAAATTTCCAAGAAGAAGAATGTATTCGAGCTGTTGTCTCATTCTTTGGCACCCAGTATCCACGGACACGACTACATCAAGAAGGCTATTCTACTAATGTTGCTTGGTGGTATGGAGAAGAACTTGGAAAACGGTACTCATCTTCGTGGTGATATCAACATTCTGATGGTCGGTGATCCTTCGACTGCCAAGTCCCAGCTGCTTCGATTCGTGTTGAATACCGCCCCTCTTGCTATCGCCACAACCGGTCGTGGTTCCTCTGGTGTCGGTTTGACTGCAGCTGTTACCTCAGACAAAGAGACGGGCGAACGCAGACTGGAGGCTGGTGCCATGGTTCTAGGTGATCGAGGTGTGGTCTGTATCGATGAGTTCGATAAGATGAGTGATGTCGATCGTGTTGCCATTCACGAAGTCATGGAACAGCAGACTGTCACCATTGCCAAAGCTGGCATCCACACTAGTCTGAACGCACGCTGCAGTGTTCTGGCCGCCGCCAACCCTATCTATGGACAATATGATCCCCACAAGGATCCTCACAAGAACATTGCTCTCCCCGACTCCCTCCTCTCTCGTTTCGATTTGCTTTTCATCGTGACAGATGACATTGAAGATACAAAGGACAGAATGGTCTCCGAGCACGTCCTCCGCATGCACCGTTACCGTCAGCCTGGAACCGAAGAGGGTGCCCCAGTCCGTGAGCAAATGAACCAAACCCTCGGTGTAGGCAACGAAGATCGCGGAGAGAAGAACCACACCACAGAAGTTTACGAGAAGTTCAACGTCATGCTCCACGGCGGAATGATCAACACAGCCCGAAGCCGCGGAAAGAACAACGTGGAAATCATCAGCATTCCTTTCATCAAGAAGTACATCCAGTACGCCAAATCCCGAGTCAAGCCTGTCCTCACCAAGGGTGCAGCGGACCATATCATTGCTGTTTACTCCGCTCTACGAAACGACGAGCTCCTCGGCAACAAGCGTCGCACTTCCCCATCACACCCCGTACCCTGGAGACGCTGATCCGTCTGTCAACTGCCCACGCCAAGGCGCGCCTTTCAAACAGAGTCGATGATAAGGATGCTAAGCATGCCGAGGCTATTCTGCGTTTCGCCATGTTCAAGGAGGTGGAACAGGACAAGCGTACCAAGAGGCGCAAGATGGCTACCTTCGACGAGGACTCCTCGGATGACGACAGTGATCCCGAGCTTGGGGGTGACGACGAGGACGAAACCCCTGCCCGAGGCACCTCTACAGCCACTCCTAGTCGCCGACCTACTCGGGCACGAGCAACTCGCGGTGCTGCCAGCTCCGCTGTTCCCGAAGAGGAGCCGGAGAGCCAGACTACCCGCACACAAACCCAGACAGACTCCCAGATGTCCGTGGCATCTTCGCACCCTGCCTCACAACTCTTGCAATCACAGGGCGACGACTCCCAACCGACTGCCGTGGAGATCACACCCGTCCGATTTGCTCTCTTCCGCCAGACACTGGGTCCTCTCATGGGATCTCGTGTCTTCGTCGATGGCGATCAGACTAACGTTAATGATATGATCGAGGCTATCAATACGGCTATCCGTGCCTCGCCCAGCCAAGGTGCCCACATCTTCTCTCGTGCGGAGGCCACTTCGGCTCTGCGCAAGATGAACGACGAGAACCTGCTAATGTGAGTATTCAACCTAAACTTGAACCGACTGGTATTATGACACACATAACTAATAGATTCCGCAATAGGTTCCTCGAGGATGATGACAACGTCTACCGTATTTAAGCTATACCGTTGTTTTTTCAAGTCTTTCCTAGGAGAAAGTCCCGGACATCCTGGGATTATGATGCTGGTTTATGAACATGTTTCTTACTCGCTGCATTGGGATGATGTCATGTTTTCCTTTTTGTCTGGAGTAAGGCGTCGATGCATTGGGGGATCTGGATAGGATCAAGTGATTAAGAATAAGAATATATGGCAGTACATTTCGTATCCGAAACCCACCATAGAGTCGAAGGCACTCGGTAGTAGTAGACATAGCTTCAAGATTTAAGTTTGGAGGCCATCTATATCCATAGTACCCGACGGACATCCACCCTGCTTTTACACTGGAAGAAAATGTAATTGAAGGGAAAAAATGAATGCTTGCTTCATGCCGCATTACTGGTATCTATAGAGAACTGCCGTGCTGCAAAGTCCAAAACATCGAAGAGAACCTTCGTCACAACCTGTAACACCACGTACCAAGGAAGAGATATCTCAGGGTACTACAAGATAGGAAACTGCCCAAGCAACGGCATGAAACAAAAGGTATAGTCGCAATTCTAAGAAGCAGTATTTGGTTCAGGTACAGAGGTCAGTATACTTTCCTTCTCTCTATCACCCACCAGCACCGAGTCATCGGACGAAAAAGACGGTGTCCGCACACCCTCGCGCACCTGCGCCTGAGTTAAAGGTGACAAGCCCCGACGTAAGGACTTGGATCCCTTCCGCTTTCTCTGCTGCGGACTTTGATCTCCACCCGATATAGAAGGCGTTGTACTTCCGCGTCGGGGACGACCAGAGGTAGAGGAGCGGGAAGGCGGACGGTCTTCGACGTCAACGGGGGTAGTGCTGCGAGAAGAGGTACGGGAGTGGGAGGACTCGGAGCGAGTATTCCGACGAAGGGAGGGGGCACGGTGTTCTTGGGTGAGTTTGGACGAATTGGACGGTTGATGCTGGTGGAGGGAATGAGGGCGAGGAGGAGGCTTGCTCTCCGATTCAATAGAACGGTGCAACGTCGCAGCCACAAGACGGCGGCGCCTTGAAGCGCGCCAGTCCAAGCCAAGGCGTCCGAGCCAGTTTCCCTCTGATCGAGCAAGTTGACGTTCTCTCTCGCGCAGCTGGTGACGTAGCTTTGCGCGGCGTTCGTTCTCGGAACACCAGAAGTCGGTGCGGTATTGGTCCCATTTATCGCGGAACTCCGGAGAGAAAGATTTGGGGAGAAGAAGGAGATGAATATAATCGCCGCCGGGACTGAGATCTTCCTCGACGAGGCCGGACTCACTATCCGCGCTGGTATAGTATTGCTGGTAGTGCTGCCGACTACCGCGTTTGTCGTTGGGGTGACGTTCGATAAGTTGAAAGTTGCCGGAGGGAGAAGGGAAGAAGGGAACGGAGAAAGGAAATAGGAAGGAGACGTATGAGAGCAACTCCTGCCACCAAGGGCCACGGATGATGATGATCTTGGTGTTCATGGTGCGGAGGCCGCGGTTGGCGACGGCGAGCCAGCGCCGTGGCCAGCGGATTCCACGCTCCCATTGCCCCGTTCCCCATACCAAGAGTGCAGTGACTACTCCTCCAAGGAGAGCAACCTTTTCTCCCATCTCCACCATCCAATAAACGGAACCACCGACGCCGAGGCCATCTTCTCGGGGGGCGTAGGAACAAGGCGTAGGAGAAGTAAGCGATCCAGCCCGCAAGGAGTAGTAGGAAGAAAGTATTCTGACGACGGCGTTCACGGAGGGCCAGATATTGCGCTCGTAATGAGGCCTCCATAATCAGAAGGTTCAGGTATATCTGGGGAGGTGAGTCGGGTGCGATGGCCAGCGGATCTGGTGTTGAGGGCCGTGGCGGGGAGGAGGAATCCGAGAATGGAGCTGGAGCTGGAGCTGGAACTGAAGCCGGAGCCAATGGCTCCGGCGTAGGAGCATGAACTTCAGGCAGGGGAGCACCCTTGACGATTTGGTCCAAGGGCGAAGCCATGCTTGTAAAGAGTTGGCCGTGGCGGCCCCGAGGAGGATTGTTGAGAAGTGAAGTGGAGGTAGAGAAGAAGGAGAGCGGAAGGGAATGGCGGCAAGACACGACATCATCCGCCTTCCTTCTACTTTACTCTTCTTCCCTCTCTCCCTCTCTTCTTCTCTCTACCTCGGACATTGCCATTCCAGTGTCTTCAACTGTCGGAATCTCTACTGCATCTCTACTATACCTCCATATCCTATTGTGCTCTCCCCCTCTCATATTTACCCTGTCTCATTTGCGCATGCGCATCTGCCTGTCGGGGTTAAGCCTCGTCGCCGATTGTCTCCGTGTTCAAAGCCCCCAGTCCATGACTGTCGCAAACCTTCTTTCAACTCGATTTATTCTTTCAAATCATTTTTCCCAACCTGCTTTCTCTCGCAAGACTTCAACTCTTATTTCTCGACCCGTTGCTCAACAACATTGGGTTGATTGCCCGCACTCCGCACCCCTCGCCACCTACACTCAAAAGTGTCGCCTGGCTTCCACGATGGCGTCGGAGTCCTTGAATTCATCGGAAAGGGAGGCTCGTGAGCACAGCAACCGCACCTCAAGCTCGGAAGATCGAACTGGTACCCCGTATGCTGCTAAAGCCGCTGCGGGCGCTGCGGCAGCCAACTCTTTCTTTCCGTTGGGGTACCGTGAAGGGTTTAGCCAGTGGGTAAGTTGCCTGCAAATGCGACCAAAAGAGATCCTATCTACCAGAATTTGTTCTAACCTCTCTCTCCTTCGTCTAGTGGGCTCGTATTCCTGCCGCGGCCGCTGAGCACAAGGTCCTTTCTTACCTTCCTTACCTCCATCACCAGCCCCCAACGCATCTCCAAACTGGCAACACCACCGACTACCCAAATGGCACAGCTCCCAGTAGCCTCCAGTCGGCAGATCATAACCAACAAGGCAAAATTTCCACTAATTCATTGAACGATCCGTATGGCCCGCGCCGATGGAGCTCGAGCATGATTGAGTTGAGTGGCAAAGACCGCGCCCTCAACGAGTTCTCTGTTGAACGAGTCGGTGAGGATGCTGACCAACATTTGGTCATGCTACACGGCTATGGTGCAGGCCTGGGATTCTTCTATAAGAATTTTGAGCCTCTCAGCCGACTGAGAGGCTGGCAGCTACATGCCCTAGATATGCTAGGGATGGGTCGTAGTACGCGCCCCTCGTTCAAGATCAAAGCCAAGGAGCGAGAGGAGGCCATTCGCGAAGCCGAGGCATGGTTTGTGGATGCTCTCGAGGAATGGCGCATCAAACGCAAGATCGACCGATTCACCTTGCTCGGACACAGCCTGGGTGGCTACATGGCCGTCGCTTACGCCCTGAAGTACCCTGGTCACCTGAATAAGCTTATCCTCGCGTCCCCAGTTGGTATTCCTGAGGACCCATACGCAGTGACAGCGGATGTAGCCGAACCCTCCGAGTCCACTCTTGCCAACGAGCTCACTCAGGACCAAAGGGACATCACCTCGGCTGCAGCGGTTCCAGGAAGTGCGCCGAAGACCACCGATGGCAGCTTCATCACAGGGCGTAATCCCGAACCCGGTGCCGCTGTCAATCAACCGCCACGTCGGAATATGCCCAAGTGGTTCGCTTATCTTTGGGACGCGAATATCTCCCCGTTCAGTCTTGTGCGCTGGACCGGTCCTCTCGGTCCGCGAATTGTGTCTGGCTGGACGTCACGTCGTTTCTCCCACCTACCTGCTGAGGAAGCCAAGGCTCTCCATGACTACTCGTACTCGATCTTCAGTCTCCGTGGCAGTGGAGAATATGCGTTGGCATATATTCTGGCCCCTGGCGCATTTGCTCGCAGCCCCCTCATCCGTCGGATTCATGGGGTTGGCCGACAGATGATCGAACCCGGTGCATCTAACCCGTTCCAAACTCCAGCATCTTCTTCGTGCTCCATCTTCTCCAAATCCGCTCCCAAACCAGAGGCCCCGCAAACCGCCAGCTCTGACGTACCCGCTACTCCACCCCCGACGCATTGACACCCCAAGAGCCTCAACGTGAGAAGGGTATCCCGATTGTTTTTATGTACGGTGATCATGACTGGATGGATGTCTCGGGCGGTCATGCAGCCGCAGCCCGCCTGGACGAGGAGAAGTCCCGCGTTCTGGCTTCGGCCTCCCCCGAGGAGAAAAATGGCGATCAAGGCTCATCTAAGGTTGTTGTTATCAAGCGAGCCGGCCACCATCTATACCTTGATGGCTGGGAGGAGTTCAACAAATTTGTGCTTTCGGAAATGGAGGATGTAAATAAGAGAGAACGGGGACTGTGAAGAGTCTGGCGGTTGAACGTGGCATTGGAATCTCCCTTCATTTCTCTCCTTCGCTTGGATTTTGCCTGTCATATGGAAATGGAGGGCTGACATTGTCACTGCATAATGGTCTACGAATATTTGACTGAGAGCGAGATTGCTTTCCGGGCGTGTATACTGTTTTTATCTCTTCTCTTGGAGTTGTCGGCTTGTCTGGTTGTACCCTTGAACTTGACAAGGTATATAACCCTATTTTCTTCTAAACATAGATTTTTAACAAATACTTCCAATGATTTTGTACATCGTACTAGTAAGATTCTGTATTCTATACTACCCAGACAATAATACTATCCCTGGATGCTTTTGTAGTAGTAGCTAAACATTTTTAATACTACTCGGGCTCCTGCTAATGAATGATATTTGAACATATTGGTGATTAGACCTTCGCCCACCATTTCCACTCCCACTTTAAACATGACCATCGTGCAATCATAAAATTCACCAGTGCTAGCCCAAAGATGCCGCCGAGAACGGCAGCCAGTCGCGTTGGGCCCGCTACCTGGAGTAGTTCTCCAGCGATGGGAATACCCACCAGGGTTCTGAATAGTTCATTAATCGATCATGAAATAATATAGTTTGTGCGTGGAGGAGAAGATCTTACCCGAAGCTGCTCACGAAATAGCAAGTTCCTAGCCACTGTCCAAATTCTTCGACCCGGCAAATTCTACCAACACACACAGGTGTCAGGCTTAGAAAGCTCCCAGTTCCAAGTCCAAGCATGAAAGAGAACGGGTAAAGAACGCCAATGTAATGCCCGAGCGGTACCCATAGCCCAAAAATCAAAACCGTGGTCACAGATATTATGACAGCCATGGTGTTGAATGCGCCAAAATGATCGGATGTCAAGCCTGCGAGCAATCGTCCCACGGCCGATCCTCTGATATATGTTAGCGTCCGCCACTGAATTACTGTAGATATACATACGCATTTAAAACAACCAGTAAATAAGTGCCTGTGCCCGAGCCGAATCCTTGAGCCACTGCGTAGGAAGGTACCAGACCTAACGATGCAAAAAGAACAATTTCACTAACTGTGAAGGAGTTAGCCTGTGAACAGATATCAAAATCGATAATAGAAAAACTCACAGAATGCACCTGCTGTAGTCCATACGAATCTTGAATCCGAGAAGCACTTCATGTCAATTGTTCCCTTGCCTGCCTTCGGAGGGAGTCGACCCTTGACACAAAGATTTCCAATAGTAAGAAGGATGACGAAAATAAAGCCCATGATACGCATAGCCCACGGCCACCCTAATCGATCTATCACATGTCTCAAAATAATAGGGAAAAGTATGCCTCCGATACTAGCACCCGCCATCGCAATACCCGTAGCCAAGCCTCGACGCTTGTGAAACCAGTGTGAAATAGATGCCATTGTCGGTGTCGATATGAGAGAGCTGCTGATTCCACCGAGACCACTCATACATAGCATGAACTGATAGTATTCCTTGCATTCGGCGAGTAAAAAAAAAGATAGGACGTAGAGAAGTGATCCGGTGAGAATGATCCATCGAGGACCGTACCTGTCGAACATGGGACCAATTTGGATGCCTAGCATTAAATTGAAAAAGACAAATACCGACGGTATCCAGCCGACTGTACTCGACGGGTATGATTTCAATTGGTGTGTTTGCCAGTATGATTGGAGGACGCCGACCGAACTCATCATGCCGAATGTGCAGATTAACATCGCGAAAGCGCCGACGACAACTAGCCAGGCCTTCAGGCCGCCATCCGGGTACTTCTCTTCATATTCGTCTCCGGAAAGTGTGTCATTTGGTTCACGAGATGAGTTTGGAGCATGTGGTGTGTCTGTTGATTGCCCTTGTCGTTTCATAGACATTTTATGGCAGTCTCGTACTCGGGTTCAATCTGTTCTGTGGTGTTCGCCAAAGAGATATGAGTTTTATGCGAATTGAAAATGCTCATATACTAGTAGAACTGTTCGGAGTTGATAGAAAGTAGTGGTGACAACAGTTGAAATTCCTCAAGTAAGTTCAGACAAAATGATGGTAAAGAAAGAAAATTGCACAAGATTAATGATTGGTAGGGAAAGCCGAACGGGGCATTAAACATAGGTCCTAGCGCGTGAAACCTAAGGCGATGACAAAAAGTTTGGATACTCCATAGTCTGTGGAGCATGCTAAATGATATGGTGGAGTTTTCCGGTGATTCACTCCATACCGCCGCGGAGAACTTAGCATAGGGTATCGATTGGATTGATGTTAATATGTTCATGGCGATTTTGTGTCTTTTTTTGAAGCGGATAGTATTTTGGATGAGCTTGGGTAAGGTATATTCATTTTCAAAAAAGCTATTTATCGGGTTTTGATTCTACAATAGTACCGATCTCGGAGGGAAGTAGTCAGAAATATCAACTGGTGGACCGGGCAGGAGGTGCAAAGATGATTGGCCCAGTCGCAAGTTTATCCTTACTAGTAATAGTCCGAGTCTCAACCTACATACTTCACCACAACGCCAAGTGACGATGAATTGATCACCAAAAATGATTGCATTTGATGTCTTGTTAAGTGTTCATTTTACTCTATTAGGATATTATTCAGTGGCACTTCACTGTACTAGAGTCGGCTTTCTGCGGGTTGTTGATGACGAACCACATGGCTTTGTTTGTCGACCTCAGGTCCCCCGCATTCGTCCTATATCCATCCCTACTTCTCCAAGGCTTCAACGACGTGTGGAATCCTGCTCTTACTTCTATAAATTTATATTTGCCGGAGCATTCACAGTGAAAAGAACTAGCCTTTTCAGCAATGGAGGCCCTCTATGACCCTAGGGAAGACTATCCAGATAGCTGACCACAACTACCCGACACACTTGCGCATACACGAAACAAAGCGCAGTCACGCCTTCTAATAGCACTCTGCCGTCTGTCACTCCAAAATTTGCAGCCACCCCAGCAAACTTAGCCCTCGCAGACATGGTCTACGTTATGGAAATTTACACTGATGGCGGCTGTAGAGGTAACGGAAGACCGGGGGCGATTGGAGCCGCTGCCGCCGTTTTTGTGCCAAAATACGGTCGCAACACCTGCTGGACGGACTGTCTACCTCAATATCCTCCGCCAACAAGCCAACGTGCCGAAATCCAAGCCATAATCCTGGCACTTGAGAAAGCCCTATCGTTATATCATGACCTTGACAATGACCCAAGGCTTGATGTAACTGTTTACTCTGATTCAAGATATGCGGTTGGCTGCATGTCACAGTGGATTTACAAGTGGGTTAAGAATGGCTGGATCAATTCTGCGGGTAATGATGTTGCGAATCAAGATCTTCTAAAGAAGGCTTCGGATCTTGATGACGATTTGAGAGATCAGGGGAAAGTGGAGTATGTCTGGATTCCGAGGGATAAGAACCAGGATGCGGACAGATTGTGCAACGAGGTCCTGGACGACCAATCACCACCATCACCATCATCATCATCATCATCGTCATCATACTATTAAGACATGTGTTATGTGTCTTAACACGCCTACCTAGGTACTTCTATTCTTTCGAATACTCCTGTTCTCAGACGAACATGGGTCAATTCTGGGGCGCGTCGCTATGTTTTCCATCGGCGGTGTGCCCAAGCCTGTTGCTTGGGTTTCCCTCGTAATTTTCTGTGTCAAGTGCAGCTGCAACAGCCACACCACCGTGACCTTTACCAATATCAACCACTCTCGCGTCGCGCAGCCGCAGCAATTTCAACATGCCTACGCTGCTTCCCAGCTTGTCTACGTCCCCAACCAAAGCCCCCAGTTTCCCCGCTGCCCTGCCTCATCCTTAATAATGTAATCTGTTCCCGACAGCCACGGCCTTTGCGTCTCAACAAGTGATGGCCCATCGGCTTTTTCGCCCCAATTGAGAAACATTTGTTTGTCAGATCGATGATCGAGTGTTATCTCACCTTTTTTTACTTCCAGTGCTCTATCTCACGCAATTCATAATAGCTACTTCATCGATGCACTGTTTTCATATTTTCAGGTAGACGACTAGTAAAAGCGTACTCGGACTCTCCTACGTGTAATTCGAAGTGGACCGGAAGAGTACTAGTATTTCTTTTTCAAAGTTGATATTTAGTACATTCAAAATATAGTTCAGGCATAGCAGTTCTCCAAGCGCCTGACAACATGATTTAATTGTCATTGTTAGCGCATGACCAGGCAGATGATCCCCCTGACGCCGTATAAGAGTTATTTATAGTTACAATCGACGCGTATGTCCCACCGATTGTCAAGAAGAAACCGGACAGAATCATAAAGACACACCAAGCCACGTTCAAACACCATCCGATAGACTTATCACGTTTGCCGGGGGTCCAATTATCATATAGCCACATACAACCCATAGGTTGAAAGCATAATGACGTCGCCAGGAGAGCCCCAACAAGTGCTACGAGATCACTGAACACGGGGATACTACTTGCCACAATGTATGCAATCGTGACGATACTGAAGGTAGATCCTAACCAGGTGACCCAATGAATCATGGTCTGTCCTGTGAGATGAGGAGTCCCTCGAAGTATGCGAACAAATACATGTTTAGCTGGCAGCTGTTATCAATGTTAGCGTCTTCTGAAGTCTGTATTGTCGATTGAAAATTACTGGCGATAACCCACATGAAGCAATAGAATTGCGGAAACACAGAGCCCCGGCAGAGCAAATCCATAGCTGACTTTCTTGATCAAAACTCCCGCCGAACCAAGAGCTGGCGATGCAACATAGGAGCCACAGTAGTAGTATACAACTGTTCCAACCACAATATAGATCACAGTGACGAGAACCTGGCAGATGGCTAGAGCACGGTTGTAGTACTTCGGGTCGCGCATCTCGGAGACGATATTGAAGAAGGCGGGGGTACCGGCGTAGGTCAACGAAATGGTCGATACGGCAGTCATGGCGTCAATAAAGCTGGGATTACCGAAAAGCTTATAGTCCGATTGGAAGACGACTCCGTCTATCGGCGGGGGGTGGCCTTGAATCCCGACCGCGACTGTCACAATGAAAACTATAATTTGGTTAGACGAGGAAACACCCTTGGATTCGAGACCGGCATACCAGCAGTGATGATGCATGCGGCACCTGCCCATGCTAACCAAGATATACGAGCCAGTGTTTGTATACTCGAGAACATGAAAGCAATGATGCCGGCGACGGCAACGAAAACCGCAGTGCATGTCCCATGATCAGTAAGTGCGTTGAAGGAGATTGAAATACTCAGCAGGGCAGAGCCTCCAGAGAAGATCCAGTCTAATGATATTATGTTAGTCTTGTGGTTCAATGGACTGAATTGTGTCAAAAACTCACAAAGGGTATACATGGCACCAAATACCTCAAACCCGATTCGCCCAAAAAGCATTTTGCCCACATCATCGATTCCGTAGACCGCAGGATGAAGTAGTTTAAAGACTCCAATCATCCAATTTGACCATGTTGTCATTCCGGCAATCACAACAAGCAAGATAATTCCTGGTATTATCCCAAGCGTGTCGAAGACCTTGGGCATTGAAAGAACACCGAGGCCAATTTGTGTCTTTACCATCAAGGCCATCGTTCCCATCCAGCTCACCTAAATTGAATTAGATTGGTATCAATTGAGGTGTCGGGCAAACAATTGCTCACATCACGGTAATTGGTATCTCCTTCTTGAATGGCTCCGAAAACGGCATCCTCCTGGATGGTTTTGTCTAGCACCTCCCCAATATGGGATTGTGTCGGCTCTATAGCATTTTCGGAGTCTATGTCTGGATTCATCTTCTTGTCCATGATGTGTTAAGAACGGGCAAGTAAATTGAGAAATGCCGAATATGTTAAGGCCAGGAGACTTCCAAATGAAATATCTGGCCGGGTAGCTTACGGGGAGCAGCGCTAATTATCTACAAGCGAGAAGCCCCCACAAATTCCTATATTGTGTTTAATTTATCTACAACATAGAATCTGGGGTGCGGGGAACTAGATAAGAACTGAAATATACATAGAAACTCCTTCCGGGGGCTGTCGATTGTGATTTGTGGCGAAGATAATCGTCGAGTTAATCATCAAGAGCGGATTGCCACCCCGGACTTGATCTAGAAAATGTTGAAATGCCTCGTACCTTAGCGTGGGACGCGTCACCAAATGGTACAAGTCGTTCCGAGGGCTGAGACAGGATCACAAAATTTGCGGTATGAGATATGCACAATTGAATGACTTGCATGCGGTTACTAGTGTCTTATCAGCATCAAACAACCAAGCTCCTTAAAGGCACTGAGAACTAGTTACAGCTCATAACCGATCTTCTGCCGGCCGGGCAAACTCCGAGGCAGGTCGTTCCGGTTCCCCACTCACCATTGGTTTCAACTGCTCTAAGTGCTTCAAACTTAAAATTGTATTCCCATGTAAGTCATCTTTCAAGAGCCATCATTCCGCCTGTAAAGTAATGATTTGATGAATCGTGGTATCTTTAGCTATAGTAATTCAATTTATCAAAAAACTTGTACTTGAAGTATTCAGATCGCAAATCTGTCTTCTGTACTAAACCTTATATACATCTGAACGCTTCAGGGCATGATAGAAACACAGAAACTGAAATCGTCAATCAGAGACGACTCTTCAGAGCCTCATTCCCCCTCCAATTGAATCAACAAGCGCTTGCACCTTCAGAGCCACCCCGTAGCTGAAGATATAACCCAAGCCCGCAAAACCATAAGCATGCACAGTGGAACCATCAGTCTCGAGCCGATATCCTCCTTTTCTCCCAGGTCGGAACGCAACAATGTCTTTCTGTACATCCTTTTCCAGGTCAATATCACCAATCTCCCCATTGGTCAGTGTCTTCACCCGTTGAAGAATATCCGAGCGTAGATCAATGTCTACGCTACGGTCTGTGCTACCAGGCTGGCTCACACCTCCAATAATAGCGCCATTGGTAAACATCCGAGGGATCACATAGGTATAATGAGAGCCCTGGTGCATCTTCAACTCCTCAAAACCGGTCTTCACGAACATAGTCTGTCCGCGGATTCCTTCCACATTCTTATCATTGGCAAGGGTAAATGCTCCAAGGCCAGATGCATGTACAATTAGTTTAGTACCTGTGATCTTCTGCGCCTCTTCGATAGAGTTCAGTGTTTTGCGAATGAATTTCACTCCACGAGCCTCCAACTGCCTTTGAACCCAGGGCAGGAAGAATGTAGGGTTGATGGTCATGGAGGTATATGTGAAACCAAGTTTGACGCCCCGAGGAAGATTTTCCTTGGAAATCAGACGATAGCGTGGAACGACAGTCTTGTACCAAATGGTAGAATCATCCTCGCGGTCATCATAATACTCCGTTGCATTTACGATCTGAAATAATAATTATTAACCATGCACACGATGTAAAGTCAAATTGTGCCTTTCCCCGGACTTACTTGAACACCACTGGTGGGATCTCTATGAGCTAACGCCCAATAATATTTGAAGTTCTCTGTTTGGAGGTCATGGCCGCCGACATCCGGATGGGGGTAGATTGAGACTCCGGCCCTGTATCCAAGCCTGTCAGCAATGTGATATAATGTAAGCAGTATACAGGGATCTTACCAAGGACTTGCCCAGTCCTGTGTTTCATCTCCGGGGAGATCGCGTGCGACAATAGTCACTTTGTAGCCGGCATCGGTGAGCGTTAAGGCTGATAGAAGGCCGATGACGCCTGAACCAATGATACCAACTTCCATTTTGAGGTTGCGTAGCAGAGACTGGAGACTAGATGACTTTATTGAGGAGAAAAAAGGTTTCCAACGAAGTATTTACATCTCTAAGAAGTGACCCCTCTCCAGATTGGCCCACTCACCCAACGGTGAATGGGAACGGAACGACCTGCCCTCCATTTTGCCCGCTCGGGGTTTCCCCGCAATTCATCTCATCACGACCTATTTTGGTGTACCTGGTTCTGCCGATCTATATTGGCCTGATAACATTTTATTATTTGTTTTCATTCCATAACTAGATGCTTCTCATTAAACACAGGATTGATACTATTTGCACTTTGAAACCGCTACTGAGCTCAGGGGTAGAATAAGCATCGACATCAGAAAAGCTATGCCACCTGGCAACTAGACTGAAAAAAAGAACGAATGAAAATTTAAGAATGAAGAATCATAGCTCGTATTTGGTCTCTGTGCCTTCAGTTCAACGTTGGAATACTAAGTTGCAGCCGTGTGGTCCTCATCTACTAAGAAGATCCTCAATGTCTCTATTTAGTAAGTCTCTCCGAAACATCCGACAGTATCACCTATCTAGTGGGCCTAATTGGGTATCAGTTTTGTGAGGTAATTGTTTATAACGAGTGCAAGTCCTTCCGTTTCGACAGTTAAGCAACATTTTTGGAAAGCATCGCGTATCTATGACTGCAATTTAAATCGGCCAGTGAGCATTTAATATAGGTCCAGCTCTAGAAGCATACCCTCGATCAACGCATATCAGAACCTGGAACAAAATACCAGCCA